AAACTCTTCTTCTTCTGTTTGCTTCAGCCAACGGGAGCCTGTGGAACTGCCAGCCACTTGGCCAGCTTGTTCCAGGACCGTTTCACTTTCCCAGCCTGCTCTGGTATGTACCTGAAACAAACAGGCCCCATGTGAATGACCTTCGCTTGTATACTGAGTTGTGAACGCCTCAGAGCAGAGGTCCTGTTATGGAAGCATGCGTGCCAGCCACTGCGCATACCTATTTATGCGCCCTTATAACCAGAGGCTCCTGTGTTTATCAGCACTCTACTTCTCGTGAACACATTCAGACATGCACTCGTAACTTAGAAGAGAGCCAGTGTGGTGTGGTGGTTAAGAGCCTTGGATTAGTATCTGGGAAACCCGGGTTCGAATCCCCACTCTGCTGTGGATGCTTGCCGGGTGACCTTGGGCCGGTCACACACTCTCAGCCTAACCGACCTCACAGGGTTGTTGTGAGGATAAAACAGAGGAGAGGAGAGTGATGTAAACTGCTTCGGGAGAAAGGGAGGCTGTAAACAAAGGAAACAGATGAGCAGATGGTCCAAGGAGGCCGCCCGCTCATCTTGCGTGGCCAGCTCAGTCTAGGGAACTCGTCCTTCACTTCATTTTGCGGCCAGCCTTTGTCATCGGGACTCCGAGCGGATGGCGGGATTTGAAAACGAGGCAACGAAGGCCAGCGTAAATCGCACAACGGAGAATGCAATAAAAGCAGATTACAAAACCAGGGAACTAAAAAGCTTCATAATACCTCCAATGAACAATACCAGGAGGGTGGTTCCCAAGATTTCCAGACGTCAAAAGAGCCATCTTTCTTCTCTTCTGAAAGGGGCCCTCCAGAACAATTCCGTTTTACCTAACACTTCCCTTTTTCAATGCCACCCTAGTCTCTCGACAAAAATCCCCCCCCGGAACAGTTCCATTTTATTTTTTTTGGTAAACAAATTTTATTTTCAATAGGAACTTAACATCCAACAATATTCATTTTCATTTTCCCTTCGTTTACCCCGTTCCCCTTACCACCCCTTCCTCCTGTGGCTTCCCGCAATGCTTCCACCCTTCCACCCACATTATAATACGTCATCAGTTAAATCATTTTTCTTATCACTACTGCCTCAAGATAACATCAATTAACCTAATATTGTTCTAAACATATTAAATTTTGTTTCACATCCCAGTTCTTTTCCAGATATGTTTGGAACAGTTCCATTTTACACAAGCATGTATAAGGAAGAAGAAGAGATTGGATTTATACCCCGCCCTTCACTACCCAGTCTCAGAGCGGCTTACAGACTCCTCTACCTTCCCCTCCCCACAACGGACACCCTGTGAGGTAAAAGAAGAGGAGGAGACTGGATTTATACCCCACCCTTCACTACCCAAAGGTGTCTCAGAGCGGCCTACAAACTCCTTTTCCTTCCCTCCCCACAACAGACACCCTGTGAGGCAGGTGAGGCTGAGAGAGCTCTGACAGAAACTGCCCTTTTTCAAGAACAGCTCTGACAGAACTTTGACTTGCCCAAGGTCATCCAGCAGGTACAAGTGGAGGAGTGGGGGAATCAAACCCGGAACAGGAGGAGGAGGAGGAGGAGACTGGATTTATACCCTGCCCTTCACTACCCAAAGGAGTCTCAGAGCAGCTTACAATCTCCTTCCCCTTCCCCTCCCCACAACAGAAACCCTGTGAGCAACGTTCCCTCTAAGCTGTGGAGTCTTGTGAGCACAAATTCTACTTTGTGAGCTACCAGCATTAAAGTTGTGAGCCAAGAATTTTGCTACCGCATAAATTAGCTTGCTCTGGAGCCATCCTTCCCAAGACAAAAATCTTTTGGCTGGAGGCTAACAAACTCTGAGCTAACTTACATTAACTCAGCTTCGAGGAAACACTGCCTCGGAGGTAGGTGGGCCCGAGAGAGCTCTTTCGAGGACAGCCCTTGAGAGAACGGCTCTGAGAGAACTTGTGACTGACCCAAGGTCACACCAGCAGCTGCCATGTGATGGAGTGGAGAGAGTGGAGAATCAAACCCGGTTCTCCCAGATTAGAGTCCGTGCTCCAAACCACTACACCAAAATAAACAGGGGTGTTTTTTGGGGGGGGAGGATTAAACAAACATGTGGGAGAGAGAGCTGTCAGCAGCTACCAGCTTTGAATGCCAGAAGTTCAACCTCTGCGTTTGACACCCAACCGCACAACTCCAACTATTATATGAGAAGTAACCAGGGGTGGGGGATCTGCTCCTTCCAAACCTCCCAGAGGCATTTGGCAGCCTGTTCCGCCAAAGCAGCCTTTGACCTGATCCGGACGTGGAAACGCCTGCGTTCCACCTGGCAATCCTCGGCAAGCATGCTCACAGCCACACCTAAATGCCTCCCCCCCTGCCTCAAGCGCTGCACGTATAATGTACGTAGACGGGGAAATGCACATATTTTGCAGAACACCTGCCGATTCTGGGTCACGTATACATACACGCAGATTCAAGTCCACGAATGCTTCATGGATATGCTCGTACAGGAATTGCTCAGCCAAAAGTATGAGAGTATTGTGTCTGAGCTTCGTACACACCAGCACCTAGCTCCTTTCCTCCACCTATAGATAACACGCTCTTCCTTAGGGTGGTGCTGATGGGGAGCATTTATCCTCAAAAGCACCCCGGGGAGAGGTTTAGGACAGTGCCTTCCACTAAGCATTATAGTTAATCGTGTACTTTAACCCCCATCTATCCAGGCCCAGCACAACTTTTAAGCCCGTCTGCTAACCGTGGGTGCAAATTTTCACCTGAGCACTGCACACTCTTGCCTCCTGCACCGAGTTGCCACAGAACTACCTAACCCGCCCACTGCATGACCAACACACACACACACCCTGGTTTTCAGTGCAACGACATACTTTATAATGCTCATAAACCCCCAGTCAGCCAATAGCTAAAACTGCAGACTATTCTGAAGATCTGGGTTTGGCGCACAAAACCTACACGAGCGTTAGGGAGAAACCAGAGATAATTTCCAGAGATGAACTCCAGAGATAATCCAGACCATCGCATCTGCAAATAGGGTAAGATGCTCTCTCTCACACACAAACACCTATAACAATAATGCTTTGGGGACCCCACCTGGTTGGAAAGACTGCAGAGAAATGTTTTAATTACATCAATTATAAGGAGGTTTGCAATGGTTAGGCAGTTCATTGATAAACTTTTTTTTTAATCAATAATTTTTTTAATCTTCTGAGCAATTAATCAGCGCTGGCTCTTCGGCTTTGAAACGGAGATGAGCACCGCAACCCTAGAGTCGGATTCGACTGGCTTTCGAGCAAGGGAACCTTTACCTTGCAATGGTTAGGCAGTTTCATTGATAAACTTTTTTTTAATCAATATTTTTTTTTTATCTTCTGAGCAATTAATGGGGGGCGCCTTTCCTGTTGCTTAAAACGTTTACAAAACAATCAATAAAGCTTATAATTAGTTCTGGAAAGCGACGTGTCATCTTCAAAGGCGCATTCTCCCTTGACTTTCATACCAAAGGGATGACTCTCCAGAGATGCTAGATTTGAGTCCAGATATCTGACTCAGGGAGCTTTGACTCTTTAAAGCTCACACCTGCAGGGCTTTAAAAAAATTTTTTGGAAAAAGAGGTGCCGGGACTCTCCAGAAGGAAATGAAGTTGTCAATCGGCATACTGAAAACCAGTGTTACCTCTAAGCTGTGTTCATGTGAGCTAGGTCACAGGTTTTTTAGCCTCCGGCTCACACATTTATGTCTTCGCTCCGGGAGGATGGCTCCAGAGCAAACTAATTGATGCAACAGCCAAATTGCTCGCTCACAACTTTAATGCCAGTGGCTCACAAAGTAGACTTTTTGCTCACAAAACTCCACAGCTTAGAGGGAGCATTGCTGAAAACTCACGAACTTTTAAACATTTTAAAAAGAATTTTGTCGAAGAGGTTCCAGAACTCTGTTCCGGTGCATTCCCCCCCCCCAAAAGCCATACATACCCACCAAAATGTTGTAGGTCTTAGGTAAGATGCTCCTGGATTCGAATCTAGCTCTAATACGGCAGACCGACCCGGCTAACCGTCTGAAATTACCTCCAGAGAGGACGCTGGCCCTCTAAGCTGAGTTCGCGTGAGCTAGCTCACAGTTTTTTAGCCTCCGGCTCACACAGTTTTGTCTTAGCTCAGGCAGGATGGCTCCAGAACAAACTAATTTATACAGTAGCCAAATCCCTCGCTCACAACTTTAATGCCAGTAGCTTACAAAGCAGAATTTGTGCTCACAAGACTCAGAGGGAGCATCGGTTGAGACACTCATAGGCATAATCCAAAACCCAAAAGCCATCAATCAGAACTGCTGCTTTATTGATATGGAAATCTGTGCAGCTTTAATCAGTTCCATCGAGGTAAAACCCCTACGATTAATCAGCTAAAATGTTTTCAACTGAGGGACAATTTGAGTGAGTCGGAGGGTCCGTTTGTCAGAATAAAATCTTACAGTTAGGCCAGATGGTGAGACACAAATTTTAGCACACACAAAACGCAGAAGCATAATCCAGACTGGGTTTGCTGAGCGCCACTTCTCGGTTTCTCCCTCCCGGAGTTTTAATCCCGGAGGAGAGACCCTATTAGTTCCTTAGAGCAAAATCCAAAAGAGATCGGGGCCCTCAATGCTCCCTCTAAGCTATGAAATCCTGGGAGCAAAAGTTCTACTTTGTGAGCTGCTGGCATTAAAGCTGTGAGCGAGTGATTTGGCTGCGGCATAAATCAGTTTGCTCTGGAGCCATCCCTTCCTGAGCGAAGACAGAAATGTGTGAGCCGGAGGCTAAAAGACCGTGAGCTAGCTTACACTCACTCAGCTTAGAGGGAACACTTGCAGACGACCAGGCCATTATTTCAGTCCACGGACTCTTATGTTGTCGAAAGAACAAACACCCCGTCGGTTTCCAAAGGCACTGTGTCCGCTCCCACCTTTCCCCTAGGACTCACCTGAGTCTCCGAGCCTCCCTTACCTTTGTAGGTCAGGTACACCCGGGGGGCGCCGCTGAGGCTGGCGTGGCCCAGACAGCAAAAGATGGGCAAGCACAGCAGGAAGGGGGTGGCCCAAGCCACCATGGCGAAGGGAGTCGCGGAGACACCTGCGAAGAGAGAGAAGAGATGTGGGGAAGCGGGAGGGGGGCCCCCCAGAGCACCTTAGGGCATGGTGTTGCGGGCGGGCAGGGGGAGAGAGACGTACACCGCCGGGCACTCTACTGGAAAGGGCGCTGCAAGGGAGTAACAGAGATCAAAGCCTGCTTCCTCGGCCCCGTCCCACCGGGCACCCCGCCAAGCCGCTGTAACCCGAGCAGATGCAGCGGCTGATGGGCACTTCAAAGGCGCTGCCAAGCTCCTGAAACGCTCCCCTCGCCCCCCCCTTTCCCCAGGCCAGCGGCACTTTGAAGCTGGGGGGGTGCACAGAGCCGGGGAGTCCCCAGAGGGGCCCTCCTGTCCCCAAGCCCCCCCAATCCAAGTCCCTCGGCTGTGGCGCCCCCTGCTGGGGGTCCCCTGTATCGACAGGGGAGGTTCCTCACTCGCAGAGGGCGCCGCCTGCCCTCCTGGCCGGGCCTTGGCCTCCTCCTGCCGCCATCACTCTCAGCCAAGGGGGGGCAGGCACGGCAGCAATCTCTCCCCGCGCCCCGGCCGGGCTCGCATCTTCCCCATGCCACGGAACAGGTGCCAGGGGACAATGCCAGCAGCCAGCAGCGAGACCACCAGCCCTCCCCCACCCCCTTGCCCACCAGCCCGGCTCAGGACTCGGTGCCAGCAAGGCCCGGCGGCTTTGATCGGCGTCCAGCCAGAGCCAGCCGCCCCCGCCCCCCCCATCGCCGGCTCCTGTTCGTTCCCTCCCCGAGCGCAACGTGCCGCGACCTGCCGCTGCCATACCTGGAGCAGGTAAGGGGAAAGAGGTGCATGCCGGGGCCTGGCGTCCCCGCTCGGCCCGAGGTGGGGCGCGCAACGCACAACTCGGCGCGCTGCAGAAACTTGGGAGCTGCGGAGTTTGGCGAGGAAAAATGCAACCCGGGGAGCTCCCGGCGTGAAAGTTGTGAGCGGGCAATGGGGCTGCGGCATAAATCAGTTGGCTCTGGACTTGCAATGTTCCCTCTAAGCTGAGTTAGTGTGAGCTAGCTCACCGTTTTTTAGCCTCCGGCTCATATATTTTTGTCTTGGCTCGGGAAGGAGGGCTCCGGAGCAAACTCATTGATGCAGCAGGCAAATCGCTCGCTCCCAACTTGAATGCCAGGAGCTCACAAAGTAGGATTTTTGCTCACAAGACTCCACAGCTTAGAGGGAGCATTGCTCTGGAGCCCTCCTTCCTGAGCAAAGACGAGAATGTGAGCCGGCCGCCGGAGGATAAAAAAACTGCGAGCTAGCTCACACTAACGCAGCTTAGAGGAAACACTGGGGGGGGGGACCCCCGCGTCTTTTGCATGCCCGGCGGCGGCAATTGCACTTCC